AAACTGACCAGCGGCGTTGTCGCATTTGGAGAGGACTTCACCCTTTGACACGTCTCAACCAACCACATATGTGCTCGTCCACTTGTACAGCTTCGGCCACCAGTAATGACAATACATAGAGCTATACGTCTTCTCACGCCCAAGATAACCAGAGTGGGGTGTCGTGGGCCTCAGAGAGGACAGGATATTCGTAATCGTTATCGAGAGGAACCACAATTCGTGGCGTATCCGTTGAAACGGTGCTATAGTACAGCAACCCGTTACTCAACGAATATCAATATAACCGTGCGTGCAACAGCGCCGACAATTTTTTTGTCCGAGTTTCAAAACCCATTGCTCCCGAGAGCCTAAATCAGCGCTTCACACATATAATCACCTACGACGGATCAAATCCGTCACTGGCGTCGTCACCGTCGTGACACGAGCAAGCTGATAGTCCTGTCTGCGGGACAACGCATCAGCCAAAGCATTCTGCTTTCCTTGCTTATACTCCATCTCGAGGTTATATTCTGCAAAGAATGAGAGCCACCTGGATATCCTCTGAGGCGACTGAATCGCAGTGCGTAATGATACATACTATGTGTATATCACAAAAGCTTTGAGCCAAACAGGTGAGCTGTTCACTTGACATGTGAATATTTCATCGCAAGTAATTGCTAGCTGTGACCTCGGTAGTTCCTATCCTAAGTCCGAAGCGTCACAAACAACACTAAAAGGAAGATTGAGATCTGGCGAAGCCAGTATTGGTGCATGAAGGAGGCTGGGTTTGACCCTTTCAAAAACCTCCCGATGTTCAATATCTCAATACCTTTCCGTATCCATCTTACGGACGTTTGACAACTTCGGATAATTCGCGCTATAGTTGACTTGGTCAAGCCGCTTGAGCAAGTCCTTTTGGTTCTTTGGAGCCGGCCAGTTCTCAGTGGCCTTAACCTTAGCGGGATCCGCTCGAAGGTCACGCTTCCCAATGAAGCATCCAGGTAAGGGGATTTCTTATGCGCCGAAGATGCACTTAACTACATTCACATACAGCTTATTCATGCGCATATACTCGAAAAATATTTAAGAAAAAAAACGTTACGTCTTTCTACAGCCGTGTTCCGAACGACCGTTGACGAAGATGTCGCCGAAGTACGTCTGTGCATACGCCCGGTGGGGCATGAAAAATCGCGTGACAAGACGATT